TTAAGTCCCCACTGCCACAACTTCAGTTCTAATTGTATTCTTAATCATTTTTACAGGTACTCTTTCATAAAAAAGAGGGTTTTTTGTTGTTGTTGTTGTTGTGACTGGGCATGAATGAAACCAGGGCTTCATGCATGCTAGGCAAGTACTCTACCAACTGAGTTGTCTCCAGCCCTCATAATACAAAATGTTTGATGGGATTAAGATCTTTCCTGGGAGTTGAGTGTATGAGTTTGGGTACATGTGCTTGGAGAACTCTGATTTTTTATTTCCCAGAGGCCTCCTTGACATCACTCCTGGAGCTTAGCAAGATTCTGGATGGGGAAGGCTGGCAAGTCTTGGGGAGGTCACACTGATATCACCGGTTATTGGTGACAAGTTCTGCTTCCTCATGTGTTTAAGTATAACATTAGAGAAGCATGCAGAGACAAGCATACAAAGCAAGGTTTATTTAAAAAGAGACTTCTTCTGGGATGGATGAAGAGGCCAGAGCTGGTATCCCAAGAAGTGAGAGCATACTGCCTTTTATATATCCTAGATTTTCTTTGTTCTCCTGCTCTCTTCCTTCTTATCTCTCTCCTTCCTGTATACATGACTAGGCTCAGGAGCATACTAGGTTCAGGAAATGCTCCCATGGAATGGCCAAAAGGTGAGAAGCAGATGGGTTGGAGGGGCCAAAGTAGAGTGATCCAGGCAGGAAGGGGGTCCCCATGCATTAATTAACAACTTTTACAACTCYCTATAGGGAGGAACAATCCCTGGAACAGGTTACCTTAGCAACAGGTTGGAGCAGGGGCAGGTAATTTTGATAAAGGTGGAGAAAGAGCTCTCAAGGCTTTAACATTTCAGTTTCTCAGGGGTGGTCTCCAACTTGCCAGACCCAAGTGGCCTTCACTCTAGACCCAACCAGGATCACCTACCTATCTGTACTGACTGTTTTTAATTCTGGCTTCAACACATGAAAGTCCTCATCACCAAGTTCTTCACTCTCATGACCCCAGTTGGAGCTTCTGTTTCTTGCCTCCTCCCTTCCAACTCTGAGCAACTATAGCACAAGGGCTGAAGTGGGTCTGGGAGTCAAGGAAGGTGACAGGCAGCATGTCCATGATCTGGAGAAGCCAGTGTGGGGAAGCAGTGGAAGGAAAGAGGAGGGGAGGCTTTGTGGACATTTCCCAGAAGTAGAGTCATAACTTTTGAATTCCAGCCCCCAAACCAGGACTTACCTTAGACATTTTCAGAGATCTTCACACTCCTAGGATTAAACTTGGCCASGGTAGAGAGGGAAGCATCTTATTAGGTCAGAAGGGGTTGTCACATTCCTGGACTTCTTGCTAAGGACTTCTCCCCTACCCTTCATGGGTTGCTGAGGGGTCAGAAAATCCCCAAACTCCTCTTTTGCCTTGGATCTGGTCAGCAATCCTCTTGCCCACAATACTATTTCCAAGTGATCCCCTTTGYCCTTTCCTAGGCATTCCCCTGGCCCCCATGCAGAAGTTAACTGCTCTGGGAACTTCAGCCTTTTGGCTGGGCTGGGGTAGGAAGTGGGCAGGTCTTCCCTAAGCCCGCTCATCCATTCCTGGTACAGTCTTCCCCTCWTCTTCTACACCCTTGGGAAATAGACTTGTTATGGAAATTGCACTCAGCAAGAGACCAAGCACCTCTCAGAGAGTTGCCTGTGGACTGAGATGAGCTAGTGCTCTTAAGTTCTGGGACTGGAGCTGAGGTTACATGGGGCTTTTATAGGAAAACTGACATCATTTCTTAACTGTTACAAGATTAGTGGGTTTGAATTCTTGGTCTGTGAGACCAAAGACCATGCAAAGGAAATTTATGATAAGAAGTTCAGAGGTATAGAACAAGACAGTAAAACACTAGTGAGTGTTATTGCGATATGGCCTTCACCACAGRCAGCAGCAACTCAAGATGACTGAGTTTATCTCCCTAAGAACTATATTTCTAAGAACAAAACCTAAGAGGTTATAGTTTAGACAGTAGTTAATTGGCATAGCAATTAAGTGTGGAGTTACATTCTACAAAGTTCAGAAAGTTTCAAAACATAAGAAACAACTCTTTTTAAAGGAACCTATCTGGCCTTGAAAGCCTACCACAGGGATATAAACATTCCAAGAGAGGGAGACTCCTAGAGAAACCTATTTACAATCCTATAGGTAGGTTCCCTGAAGAGAAGCTGACATTGGGGAGTGGGAGGATTAACTTTTTCTTCATCAGACCCACATCCCAGGGAAGAGAAGCTGCTAGACAGCAATTAGGCCTTTCTCAGGACTCTCTGTACCTGTCCATATGGATGCTGGGACTTAGCAGGTACAATGCATACACAGTCCCTATGCTCCTGGAGTGTTTATGGCCAAGTGAGAAGGGAGTTGTCCTGGGGTAAGGGGGCACTGCTCCAGCATCCCATAACATCACAATAACACTCGCTAGTACTCCAAAAGTACCTGCCTTACCAGTTCAGCTTAGTGATAAGTAGGACTCCTGTTGTCAGACCATGGCCACGTGCAACCCCACRACACCAGCTTTTGCATGATCCACTAGACTCACATGGGGGAACCTAGATTCCAGGTCTTTATGAGATCAATAGAATTATAATTGTACCACAATCGTTCTTATGTCCAGAACTAGATAGATGACCAGCCATCCTAGGAAGACAATGTTATCTCACTCCCAACCCTCCCCACTCCACTCAGGCCTTAGCATTTAAGAGTGCTTCCACACTTGTTTGCTTGTTGATTCCCAAAATAACTCAGTGAGGAGTGTCTGGGATGTGGCAGGTACATCTCCTTGAGGCCTACAGGGCCCAGTACTCTGACCTCTGACCAAAGCACGTGAGTCTGCTCTGCCATCTTTCAAATTGGGAAAGGAGCTTTAATAATAGACTGAAATCACCATACAGGGCTCAATTTAGGGGACAACTATGGATGGGGAGCAGGAAGTCAGGTTCAAGTCTGTCACTGGGGGTGGGGGCAGTGAGGGGAAGGGGAAAGGAAATAGGAGGACAGGGAGCAAGAAGTGATAGAAGATCTTTCTCACCCATGATAGTGGTTTGGGGACTGTAACCCCAAATGTATTCTGTAGAGGTCAGATGAGTAACACAAAGGAAATATGTTGAGTCAGGGATATAAGGAGTGGTGGGGACTGTGTGTGGAATAGACACAACTAGACAGATTATGTGTTATGATCAAATGTTGCTGAATCTTTTACTTAAAATAAAAAATACACAAAGAAACAACCCCCTCCCCCAGAAATATAGATTGTGAAGTCTCCTGATTTAAATGTTATTTAAATAACACACACACACAGTGAGGGACCAAACAGATGTATTTGCCATCTGTGGTCTAAGGACTGGTCACATGGTTCTACTCCCAGCTCAGGGAACAGTAAATGCTGGATAAATGCTGTTGGATTAAGCTGTACCTCCTGCTTCTGAGGTCTGTTTCCTTTTCTGGTCAGGACCTGTTTTCTGCCACTGGAGAGGAGAGGGGGCCCAGGGCTATTTACCCTAATGTGAGAGATTAGCTTTCAGTTCTCTGAAAGGGATTTTGTAAACAAATCCTGTTTCCATGCTCCCCTGTACCACATACACAATATCCTTATGTAGGTACATTTACAATACTTGCTAATACATTGACACTTGCTCAGTGCTATTCTGAGGAAGCCGAGGCCCAAAGATCACTAGTAAGTAGTATAAACAGGACCAGATCATAGCAACTATTTATTGAGAGCCTATTAGGTATGCACTGGGGATAGGTATACCCATGGAATCTTCACTACAACCTTGTGAGGTAGCCCTCATCATCCACTTTACAGATTAAGGGGGGGAAAAAAATGAGGCCCAGAAGAGGTACAGATCATACAGCAGGGAAGAGGCAAACCTGGGCCCTCTGTGCTAGAAACTGAGGGTGGATCACTTCACATTCCTTCCTTCCAGCCTCTTCTTTGTGGGCACAGAACTAGATGCTGCAAGCTGATTAAAAGTGCCAAAATTTGGGGGTAGGGGTCCAGAGGCCTGGGGATGATAGAAAGACTATCCTCTAGGAGTGGGCATTAGGTCCTCAAGACAGATAACCCTTCTCAACTTCAAAAGGGCTATTTTGTGCCTAGTCCAGGAACACTAGTAGCTATGAGAAGGAAATGGACTCTCTGCTTGAGGACAGAGTACCGRAGTGCTTTGAGAAGCCTACCTCCTGGCTCCAGGACACACAGTTTTACTAGCAGAAAGAGATTTGTGTGGGCAATCTTCCTCCGTGCCATACAAAAGGGTTGCTTAAGCCGATATGAGTCACATCGGAAGCTTTTACCATATTTGTCACTCTGTAACTGCTTTGATGATGAATTTTGCCTCAAATGCCACAATTTTGGCATTGGAGGATTTTTGAGATTGTAGGACCATTTGGTCTTGGCAGAAGCTTCTTCCTCCCCAGCGGCAGAGCTTGACCTATATAAGTACTGCAGGCCTAGCAGCATTTCCTGGGCGGCTGGCTGCTCTGGCCACACCAGAAAGGGCTGTTCAGGCTGCACAATTTCGCAACGCAAGGGCAACCGGAGGGCTCCCCGGTAGCCTGATGTTCTATTCCCCTGAAGCTCCACCACGTCCGGATTATCCCTAGCCACATAAGGCGCCGTCAATTCCATCGCGAGTGAAGAGTGCCCGTTTCCTAGACGTCAGTTACTCTGCTCACAAGCAAACCCAGAGCAAGGGTAAGATATAGGGGTCCAGCACCGGAAACGGAAAGGTCCACAAGCCTGTGCCCCTCTAGGAAGAGGCTGCGAACCTTCTCGGTAGGTTTAACTCCTCATTCACCTGGTCGAGCGAGAGCTTTCCATCCGCAGCCGCTGTCAGGAACGTCACACTGTCGGCCTGGCTCGGGATTCCAGGAGTCCATCAGCCCGGACTTCGGGGCCCCGACTATCAAAGCAGGGCTAAAGGAAGAAGGGCGGTCRCTGCCAAGGACATATCGGGAGAAGAGTTAACAAAGTCATTCAGAGCAGCACAGCACAAAGACTCCATGGTCGGACGTCTGGGTTCTCCAAAGCACACTTCGAGGCCCTAGGAAGAAAGTTTCCCTTCCATCTTAAAAGAGGCGTGTTAAGCTTGGTGCTGACTACATATCCCAGCATACACCTCACGCGCCTCTTAGACTCGCACAACATAACTACCATACCCACGTGCCTTCTGCGGCTGTGCAAGAACCAGAGTTCCGGAAAAGAGAACTACGGTTTCCGACTCGCATGATAACTGCGGCGGCGCTATTTAAGAAGCGTCAGCAAGGAGTAGTCTGGCCACGCCCCTCTCTTCCAGTTCCGCTGTCTCAGATAAGCGGCGAGAAGCGGGGCGGAGCCCTAGGCCCGAGCCAAGATGGCGGCTGCGAAACCAACCCTTACGGACTCGCTCTCGTTTTGCCTCGCGCAGCTCACGGCGGCAGCAGGGGAGGGTCAGGGTGGGGAAAAGGACCCAGCTAGCAACGAGACACCCCTGGGCCGCGCGCTCTTAGCTCTCCGCACGCGCCACATCAAGGCAGCGGGGGGAATCGAACGCTTCCGGGCACGCGGCGGGCTCCGCCCCCTTCTCGCGCTGCTACGGCGAGCGGCTGCAGCGGACCCCGCCCCGTCCGAGGCAGGTCCTGGCTCCGCCCCCTCGTCGGTTGCGTCAGCTGCTTCTGGTCCCGCCCCTTCCTCTGACTCCACCCACTCTGTTGGGTCGTCGCCTTCGCCGCCAGTGCGCCTGCGCAAGACGCTGGACTTGGCGCTCAGCATCCTAGCCAACTGCTGTACGGAAGGGGAGTGCCGGGCTGAAGTGCGCAGACTCGGAGGCATTCTCCCTTTGGGTAAGTGCTCCGCCTCCATTTCCTAGAATGATTTCACCCGCGCTTCCCCCTTGTCTAGTCCTAGACTGTTTTGAGTACTTTGTGTCAAACCCTGGAATAACATGCTTTATGACGGCGCCGCCCACCTATCTCTCAAGATGTCACTACTCTCCCATGACGTCACTACTTTTTCTGTAGGTTATACTCGAGCTCAGACCAGATAATTACAACCATAATCTAGGTGTTGGCACCTCTCCCGCATCTAGGCAGTTGGAGACTAAAGGGTTATTAATGATACTTCAGATGATTCTTGTCTTGCATTTATGATATTAATAGTCTGACCTTGTGCGATGGACTGAAACCCCCCTTGGATGAGCTGCAGGCAAAAAGGTGAAGTTCAGAAATTGGTGTAGTTAACTATACCAATAAAGGCACCTAACACCTCCAAAACTAGGATTCCTTGTAAAATGAAATAATAATAGCCACCTTGCATAATTGGAGTATGGAGAAAACTTAATGCAAAGGTAGAATGCATAGACTCTATGCACAGGCAGGGTATTTCGAGTAATTRAAAACTCATACAATAAAAAAGAACCCAACAAAAGCTTTTCTGTTTACCAGATAAATTGGTGCCTCCTAGTGGCATGCAAACGCAGTATACCTGTATACAGTACACCATGCAAATGCATTATACACGTCATGCCTGTCTTCTGAAATTATTCCAGTTTTGATGTAAGCTCAATTTTTTGGATAAAGGGAAGCATTAATATATTTAAAACTTGCATAAAACATATGTGGACTATAATGAGTTTGACAAGAGCCTGGAAGATTAATAAGCCCCTCAGTAAACAATAGAATTTGTTATCACTCCCATCATTCAGTCACTATTTTGCATTTTAAGTATCTCTGAAATCCATCTCCTCCTGTGTTTCCACCATGTGATCAGAGACTGCTTGTTCTCAGCAGTGCAGTAACTTATTTGGTTCAGACCACTGTCCATTCTCACCTGGTCTCTTTGTCACTCTCAGGCTCTATTCCTTTCTCCTATAATACRTTCCCCCCATGGTTGCCAGATTGTATTGTATTGCTTCCCTTCTTAAAATCCTGTGTATCTCCTGTGTGTCCTGAGCTCTTGATCTGACATTTGAGGCCCTTCATTAGATCATGGCACAGATCCTCGGTGTTACCTCTGGGCTCTTGCAAAGGCTGCTTCCAAACCCAAAATGCCTTGTAATATCCCCATCCACCATCCTTCTAGTAAATACCCTCTAGACCAAGCTCATGTGTTAGCTTCTTTCAGAGACTGTCCCTGACTCTCTCAAGCCATATTCTGGAAGTGACTGATAGAGAAATAAAAGGCTAAACTCTCTTTTCAGTGACCATTCTTCAGTGTGTGAAGACAGATAGCATCCAGAACCGAACAGCCCGTGCTCTGGGGAACTTAGCCATGGAACCTGAGAGCTGTGGGGATATCCACTCTGCTGGTGAGAAGGCTATGAGGGTGGGGTTAACTGGGAATTAGGGTGGGATAAGGGCTTAGGTAGACGCCTTTGCTCACCCTTTGTCCTCCCCTTTCCTCTCCAGGTGCTGTTCCTTTGCTCGTTGAGAGCCTGACAGCTTGCCAGGACTCACAGTGCCTGCAGAGTGTGGTGCGTGCCCTTCGCAACCTGGCAGACTCACCGCAGCACCGCCTGGCCCTGGCACAGCAGGGAGCAGTACGCCCACTGGCTGAGCTCCTGGCTGCTGCCCCAGACCCTGCGCTAACCTCAGCCCTAGTCCGTGCCCTCCTGGAACTCAGCCGAGGCTGTTCCCGAGCYTGTGCTGAGCAGCTAAGTCTGGGTGGGGGACTGGGCCCACTTGTCAGCCTGACTTCTCACCCAAAACGGGCAGTACGTGAAGCAACCATCCTGATCCTTGCCAACCTGTGTGCCCAGGGCCTAGTACGGCCTGCACTAGGCAATGCTGGTGGTGTGGAGGTGTTACTAGGTGAGCTCCGGCGGCGTCGAAGCACCAATGGAGCCAGCTCGGCTTCCCAGCAACCATTGGTGCGGGCTGTGTGCCTTCTGTGCCGGGAGGCTATCAACCGTGCCCGGCTTCGGGATGCTGGTGGTTTAGAGCTGCTCATGGGCCTACTGCGGGACCCTCGTGCCAGTGCCTGGCATCCACGTGTTGTAGCTGCTCTTGTGGGCTTTCTTTATGATACTGGGGCCCTGGGCCGGCTACAGGCTCTGGGACTTGTACCTCTCCTGGCTGGGCAGCTGTGTGGAGAGGCTGGTGATGAGGAAGAGGAGGGAACAGAAGCGGCTTCTTGGGACTTCCCTGAGGAACGGACCCCTGAGCGGCCTGAGGCTGGAAGCTTCCGAAGCCTCAGGTGAGTCCTCACCACAGGGCCTAGGAGGGTGGGTGATATATTTTGGGATGGGGGCTTGTCTGCTTTGGCCCTCTTTTCACCTCCACCCTCCATTCTGTTCAGTAAGATTTTGTTGTTGTTGTTTCTAACTCCTGATTCCTTCTTGTTCCCTGACATGACTACTTTCCAGTCCTATTAAACACAGCTTCTATCCCTTGGATCTGCTTTTTAACATTGGTTCTATCTCATCACCTTGAACTTTGGGCCCCAGACAAATTCATTGGGAGGTAGTACGTACACTGATTATTTATAGTGGTATGTTCTGGAATACAAGTTCTTATTCTGTCACCATCACTTACAAACTGAGACATCAGGGGAAGGCTAATTAACTTCTCTGGGTCTCTGATTCTTTGTGCATACAATGGAGGATAACAACATACCCTACAGGGTTATTGTAAAGATTAATGGCACAAAGCAATGTTCAGTAAATGTCAGCCTTGTGAATTCTGTGATTCATCTCTGATCATTGTCYGTGGTGCCTGTTGCACTCTTAGAACTGGTCTCCTCCTTATTTTTGAACATGACAGGAAGATGTTATCTGAGGACCTCTCTGGTTGCTGTTCTGTCTGCTTAGAATACTTTTCCTCTTGCATGCCTTCATCTCTCACCACCTTTAAGTCTTTGTTCAACTCTTGCCACATTTGTAGGGGATCCATCACCACTCTATTTTAAATTTCAACTTTTGCCTACCTTGGATCTTTTAATAACCTTTTCTTTTCACTATTATTACTTCACCACACTAACATGACACTAATCTACCATACGGTTTACTTACTTAGGTTGTCTGTTTCCCTTCAGTAGAACATAAACTTCAGGAGGGCAAGAACTTTGTTTTATTCAATGCTTCTCCCCCGCACTTAAAAAGGACTAGGCACATGATTAATATCAGTAATTACTGAATGAGGATTTATTATTATTATATTATGTATTATTAATACACCCTCTTCTTCCCCTACTGGCTTTACCTTCTTTTCACAGTTCTTTTGACTCTATTCCCTTGCCTTGGCTCTGGGTTCAGTCTGCTTTTCTTTTTGCCCTCTGCAGGTCATGGCTGATCTCTGAGGGCTATGCTGCAGGCCCTGGAGACATTTCTCCAGACTGGTCTCCTGAGCGTTGTCCATTGCCAGAGCCAGCAGAGCCAGTCAGTCCCACCCCTGGCCAGACCTCGCTGCAGACACCACGTACACTACGCATGCAGGGTCGTAGCCCTGCTGCTTCTGCTGCAGAGGAGCCTTGGGGACGTGAGGGGCCGGCACTACTGCTGTTGTCACGCTTCTCCCAAGCTCCTGACCCAAGTGGTGCACTTGTGACTGGTCCGGCACTGTGTGGCTTGCTGGCCTATGTGACAGGTGCACCAGGCCCACCAAGCCCACGTGCACTACGCATCCTGGCACGTCTCACCTGCAACCCTGCCTGTCTTGAGGCCTTCGTGCGCAGCTACGGTGCAGCGCTGCTGCGAGCTTGGCTAGTGCTCGGTGTTGCACCAGACGATTGGCCTGCACCACGTGCCCGGCCTGCACTCCAAAGCCAGCACCGGGAACTGGGTATGACTTCAGTCTTTCTGCTTACATTAGTGACCCCATTTTCCTCCTGTGCCTTCTGTGGGCCCAGTACCTTGACTTTACTGCTCATCGGTCCTCTCACTGTCCTCTCTAGTCCACCATCCAAGCAACCCTAGACACCAGGTGTTGGGGRTGTTGAAGAGAACAGGAGGTCTTGGGACTATCCCTTCTGCTCCGTAGCATGTAGAGAGAGTTCTGTTCTACCATCTGTTTAAATCTTGGAGCTCAGATAACCTGACCTCAGGCTTGGCTCCCAACAACCTAGAATCTTGCCTGTCTGCATTTCTTTACTCAATAGGTTCTGCGTTGTCCTGACTGCTTCTGCCCTGGGCATACTGACTTGTGAACCCAGACCCTGCCACCATTTTCCACACTGTCAGGAAGTTCCCTGTCTTCTGTGCCCTTATGGTAGATTCTTTTAGTCCTTGAGGGCCAAGAATCACATCCCCTGTTGGTCAGGGAAAAGCTTTTTTCTGTTCTTGCCCTTGATTTCTAATCCCTAGTGTCTTAACCCTCTCTCTCCAGGGCCTAAAGTCGTCCCCCTCTTCTGTGCCTCGATTTCTTGTCCTGAGGTTTTACCCCTTCCTTTCAAGAGCCCAAAGTCCCTGTCTCATCCATCCTACCCCAGTCTTTGACATCAACTCCCAATCTGACCTGGTCTGCTGGCCCCTGCAGGTGAGATGCTGCTTCAGAAYCTGACCGTACAGGCTGAATCGCCCTTTGGAGTCGGTGCCCTCACTCACCTGCTGCTCTCTGGGAGCTCTGAGGAACGTGTAGCCTGTGCACTGACCCTGCCCTTCATCTGTCGGTGAGGGGGATGTGGGTGTCTTGTAGGGGTTGGGGAAGAGGGTTGCTGTTCCAAGTCCTAACCTTGTCCACCTTCTGAAAGACCCCCTTTCTCCCTTTAGGAAGCCCTCTCTGTGGCGCCGGCTACTTCTGGACCAGGGTGGCCTCCGTCTCCTCCTCACAGCACTTACTCGGCCAGCTCCACATCCACTYTTCCTCTTCTTTGCTGCGGACTCCCTTTCCTGTCTCCAAGGCCTGGTGTCTCCCACTGCGAGCCCAGCCTTTCCACCTGCAATCCCCTTGGATCTAGAGCCACCCTCCCCTTGCCTCTATGAACCTATGCTGGGCCCAGCCCCGGTCCCAGCTCCTGACCTGCACTTCCTCCTGGACTCAGGCCTACAGCTCCCTGCTCAGAGAGCTGCCTCAGCTATGGCCTCCCCTTTCTTCCGGGCCCTGCTGTCTGGCAGCTTTGCCGAAGCCCAAATGAACCTGGTGCCACTGCGAGGGCTGTCACCCAGTGCAGCCTGGCCTATCCTGCATCACTTGCATGGTTGCCGGGGCTGTGGGGCTGCCCTGGGACCTGTGCCCCCACCAGGCCAACCCTTGCTGGGCTCAGAGGCAGAGGAGGCCCTGGAGGCTGCTGGCAGATTCTTGCTGCCTGGGCTGGAGGAGGAGCTGGAAGAGGCTGTGGGCCGCATCCATCTGGGTCCTCAGGGTGGCCCACAGTCAGTGGGAGAGGTATTCCGTCTGGGCCGGCCCCGATTGGCTGCCCACTGTGCACGCTGGACACTGGGGCCAGGGCAGTGCCCAAGGAAGCGGGCCCTGGCCCTTGTGGGGCTTGTGGAGGCAGCAGGTGAGGAAGCAGGGCTCTTGACTGAGGCTTTACTAGCTGTGGTGATGGGGATTGAGTCAAATGGCTAGGGACCCAGCCTAGACTGTTGATGTCTCTTGGGAGAGGACCTAAAGATGAATTGGCTGTGCAGGAGGCCTCCCTCAGAGTATCACGAGAGAAGCCTGAGCAGAGTTATCATCGAGGACTGAAGAGAGGATGGACCTGGACCTCAGTATGGTCTGAAGACCCAGGAGTGAGAAGTCAAGGCCAGGGTCTGGGCATGGGGCCCAGAGGAAGGAGAAGAGCCCAGGGACCCRGGCATCTGACTTGGCCCAGCACTATGGGGTTGAGATTAAAACTTTGCAATTGAATATTATTATTGTCTGTGTTTCTGCTTACTTTCCTGTGGGAGGAYTCCCACCCCTTCACACACCAAGCATGGTCTTGTCTAGATCTCTTTGTCTTGATACAGGCCACCCATAGCATGTAGAAGTTTATAAGTAACTTTCTAGTGGTTCCTGGTGCCCTGAAATAGGGTGGAGTTGCCAGTTTCCTCCCTGGGATGTGGTTTTGGGCCCCATGGGAAGGATCTCATTGCTTAGAGTCAACCACCTGGACACATAACTTGGTCAGGGCTGAAAGAATGCTGTGAGGTAGAGTTTAATGTCTTGGCATCACTTTTTTCTGTTGGGCCCTTAGTCTCAGAGTCCATTTTTGTCTCCTGGACCAAGTTTCTTAATGCTTTCTGSGTGAGGGAAGGCCTGCTGTGTTCCATATATTTCAAGGTACTGTTTTAATCATGTCCAGAGAGAGCCATTGCCTTGTGCTTGCATTCAGGTGAGGGAAGTACTCACATTGCTTTGGTCTCCAAGGTCTCTATCATCTGACTTCCAGATCCTTGATTACTTGACAGCCTGACTCAGGAGAACTCTGGATTGGGCCTGCCTGGGTCTGCTTTGGGGAAACTAAGGTTGGCACATGCTGTTGCCTCTTTGGATGTTAGTCTAGGTCTCTGGTTGTCAGGCTGTGCAGAGAGCTTTTTTAAAAAATATGATGCCTGTGCCCTTTCGGATGGAATTGTACTGGAGGGCTGCCCTGGGCATCAGTACTTTTTTAAAAAAAAGTTTCCCAGCTTCTGACTTGCTCCTGGGTTAAGACCCACAGTTCAGTTCTCAGGTGTGTCTACCAGAGTGGCTGCAGGACAGCTGTCCTTGCCCATCTCTGAGTGTCACTTTTTTTTAAGAGAGAGAGAGAGAGAGAAAATTTCTTAATATTTATTTTCTAGTTTTCGGTGGACACAACATCTTTGCATGTGGCGCTGAGGAACCCGGGTTACTCACATGCCAGGCGAGCGCGCTACCGCGTAAGCCACATCCCCAGCCCTGAGTGTCACTTTTCTACCTTGAGTTCTCAGGGGAAAGCTTTTGGTTAGTTTGGGGCTGGAGTCTCTGTCTTGCTTTCTTCTCTTTCATCAGAATCTTGGGAAGGGGCTACTTTGGAATAGCCTGGGGCACCTCAGGGTTGGGGAAGGGCTTAGTCTTGCAGACTGACTGGGAGTGCTGAGTCTGTTTGGGGCTTGGGCCTGGGTTTCATTTTCCTTGTTCATTTGTATATCATTTTCCAGGTTTCTACCTTAGAGTCTAGTTGGGCTCAGTGTCCTCTGTCTCTGATTTTTTTTTTGGGGGGGGGGTCTAGTAATGTATACCTCTTGGAGTCTCTGTATTTGATTGTCTGTCAGGGTCTCCAAGGGAAGGTCTCTGAACCTGGGATCTGACAGATCCTTAGAACAGCACTCCTGTCCCCAGCTCAAAAATTCTGTCAGCTGACAAGCCTCTCAGGAATGCCCTGGGTGGAGGGGCCTCTGTCTAGGACTTAATACTGGCTTTGGGCCGGGAGTAGTCTGTGGTTATGAGTTTCATTAGACAGGGGCTCTACAGCCTGATCTGGAAGAGCCACTTCGGGCTCCGGCTCTGGCCGCCCTGGGCTCTCTGTTCAGTTTAGGCCAGTGCCGGGGTGTGGCCGTCTCCGCGGCAGGCCAGCGGGCTGGGTTTGGGTGGGCCCCGGTGCTCCCTTTTCGTCCACGCCCCCACCCCGGGTTCCCCGGTTCCTCGTCACTCCCCCCATCCCCATCCCAACGGGTCCCAGCTTCCTTACATGGTCACGGCCCGGCTTCCAGCTCCCGGACGTCCCCCCGCCCCCCGCCCCCACCGGACACGGCCCCCGCCCTGCTCGCCCCGCGCCGCCTGCCCGCGCCCCGCCATGGAGGATCTGGGTGAGTGGGGCCCGGAACCCGGGGTCCCCAGCTTCTCACCACTGCCTTGAAAACGCTTCCCCACCCTTGCACTCCGCACATCTCCCCATCCCTGTCTTCTCACTCCTGCTTCTTTCTCTGTCCGCTCCTTTCCGACTCCACTCCACGTCCCCCTTCCTGCCTCTCCCTTCCTGCCTTTCCTGGGCTGGCCGCTCCCTCCCTTTTCCTTCGCTCGGCTCCTTCAGTTCTGACTTTGGATGGTCAGGGAAGTGCAGCGCCTGGACTAAGAGACGCTGGAAAGGGAGGGGTTAAAGGAGCCTTAGGTTCCAGGGACTGGGAAAGGAAACCGGAGAGGTGTGTGACATCAATTTTGGAAATAAAAGTGACCAGGGGGCCGGSGCCAGGATTTCGGGAAGGAAAGAGTTAAGGGCTCCTAAGTATGTAAAGGTCAAGTCCTTGGGGCAGGATAGAGAATAATAATTGAGGAGTGCCAAGATGCTACATAAAAGTAACGGGTTCCAGCAAGATGTTCAGAGAGGAAGAGTGAAGGGCCAGGGGCTTCTAGATTCTGGAAGGGAAAGGGTTCAAGGCACCCGAATCTAGTGTGGGATGTTTGGGGGCAAGAAGAAGGACCCAGGTATCTTGTCCTCTCTTTGCTGAACTGGGGCAGAAAGGCTGTGTCTTCCATGTGAGACAAGATGCTCAGGGCTGGGGATGTGGCTCAAGCGGTGGCGCGCTCGCCTGGCATGCGTGCGGCCCGGGTTCGATCCTCAGCACCGCATACCAACAAAGATGTTGTGTCCGCCGAGAACTTATAAATAAATATTAAAGATTCTCTCTCTCTCTCTTTTTTTTTAAAAAAAAAAAGATGTTCAGGCACCCTGCAGTAGAGGGTGCTCCTYAGTAGAGGGAACTGGTATTGGTACCTGGGAGAAGAAAGGAATCAGAAAGCTGGTCCCAGCAAATTCACCAATGAGGAGTTTAGGGTGGGACTCAGTGGGGCTGGGAAGTGGACCAGGCTGGGCGGGGGCCTGTTTAGATAGAAGGAGGAATTAGCAAGTATCAGGAAGTTGGGTGCCAGGCAAACAGCCAATTGAGCAATTTAAAGTGGATCCAGATTTGGCTCGAGTAAAGAGTCAATTTTGACTGCACTGGGAAAGACGTGGAGAGTAAATGAAGCAGGTGGCTGGGTTTGTGCTGGACTCTGGGTTAGCTAGTCTGGATATCTGCTCATAAATACTCCTTGCTACCCTTCCACTTCTCTGCCTTGGTCTGGCCCCATGTTTATGCGTTTTGATCTCTGCTCTTAATATTGGCTTCTGCCCTTTCCAAATAATGCCTACTTGGAACTATTATCCTCTAATCAATTAAGGCCCTGTCTCTGCCCTTAACCTTAACTCCTTAATCTCTCACCCTGAGGGCCTCTCCCTGCAGATGCCCTGCTCTCTGACCTGGAGACCACCACCTCACACATGCCAAGGTCAGGGGCTCCAAAAGAGCGGCCCCCAGAGCCACTCACACCTCCCCCACCCTATGGCCACCAGCCGCAGGTGAGATAAGATATGGGGGTCTGGGGCAGCCACTCTGGCCTAGGAGAATTTGAGCCTGTGTGGGGCAAAGCACAGACCTGTCATTCCACACATGGTGTCTCTTCTCTCTGTAGACAGGGTCTGGGGAATCTTCAGGAGCCTCTGGGGACAAGGACCATCTATACAGGTGAGGGACCTAGGAAATAGGGCACTGAGAAGGGGAAGCCTCTTGAGGCTCAGGTGAGGAGGCTTGCATTACCCACTCCTAAACTCAAGCTCCTACCCTGTTTCTCAGCACGGTATGCAAGCCTCGATCGCCAAAGCCTGCGGCCCCCGTGGCCCCTCCATTCTCTTCTTCCAGTGGTGTCCTGGGCACTGGACTCTGTGAGCTAGACCGTTTGCTTCAGGAACTTAATGCCACCCAATTCAACATCACAGGTACCAGGGTTACTGAAACAGACTTTGATGGGATGGGGGCAGGGCAGGGCAGAGACTAAGGGGCACAGACTTTCTAAATGTCCAGTTAAAGGGACACAAACCTTTGAATGGGAGGGTGGCTTGATCATGGCCSCATGCCCACTACTTATCTCTTATCTCTCCAGATGAAATAATGTCTCAGTTCCCATCTAGCAAGRTGACTGCAGGGGAACAGAAGGAGGAACAATCTGAAGACAAGAAAAGACCCAGCCTGTGAGTTTGGCATTGTTGGGAGAGCTGGAAGAGAAGTGATGGGTCTTGGATGTTTGAGTTATTAAAGGGAAATTACTCTGGGAGGCTCTGAGATGACACCAAATATGATTTTGCAGTCCTCCCAGCCCATCCCCTGTTCTCCCAAAGCCTTCAGCCACCTCGGCCACTCTGGAGCTGGATAGACTGATGGCCTCACTCTCTGACTTCCGTGTCCAGAACCATGTGAGTCAGGGCAGATGTGGGCTAGTGTGAACTTTGACTCCTTGACCTATTTTAGACCCTTCCACATCTACTGCCTTGTTGACTCAACTCTTATGTCCTCTCTACTGTAGCTTCCAGCCTCTGGGCCAACCCAGCCACCAGTGGTGAGCTCCACTAATGAAGGTTCCCCATCCCCTCCAGAGCCAACTAACAAGGGCAGCCTGGACACCATGCTGGGGCTGCTCCAGTCTGACCTCAGCCGCCGTGGTGTTCCCACCCAGGCCAAGGGTCTCTGTGGCTCCTGCAGTAAACCTATTGCTGGGCAGGTAAGTGGATTCCTGTGAGAAAGGAGATAATATCCACAGACCCATCCTTATTGAGAATCAGGTTCAGGGTTTTTCCCGTTGTTCCCTTTAAATAAATAACATTGTAAAGGGGATATTATTTATTTATAATTTTTGTTTTTCTGATTTTTTTGGGTGCTGGGGATTGAACCCAGGGCCTTGCACATGCTAAGCATGTATTCTACCACTGTGCTATACTCCTAGCCCACTATTTATGTTTTGTGGGTGAACTGAATCTCTGACTCACACAGCAAATAAGTGGTAGAGAATTCCAATCTAGTTACTATTGTGGTCTTAACTGTCTGCCAGACACTGTGCTAGCTCCTTTCAAATCCCCATCTCACAAAAGGCTCATTGGCTTTATCCAGCATCTCTCAGGCACCCACAGGCTTTCTTTTCCCCTTTAGAGTCTGGTCTGGTCTGGGAGCTCTGATTCTTGGCTTATGACTGAGCAGATGTCACTAACAACAGCTGTGCCCAGTGGTTGACCTAGAATCTCCTGATAGATAATGTGCTTGATTCCTATCCTAGGATTGCCAGTCTCAGTAAAGTTGGGTAGCATTGACTTTCTTGGGCTCTAGGCATTTTCATCTTTATGGGTCCCTTCTGCTATTTAAAAAAATCATGCCTGTGCTGTGTTGGTATAAAGATGAAAATATTGACATTATATATTAAATCATTTCTTTTTTAATTTATATATATATATATTTGTTGTAGATGGACAAATACCTTTATTTTGTTTATTTATTTTTATGTGGTGCTGAGGATCCAACGCAGGGCCCTGCACATGCTAGGCCAGCACTCTACTGCTGAGCCACAACCTCAGCCCCTTAAATCATTTTCTTTTAGTTCATCTTTTGTTGTTCTGATTTTGAAAGAAATTAAAACCTTTCCATGGGCCCCTAAAAGTATTGTGAGCTGTATGCACTGTACCTGGCATACCTTGTGGATAAGTCAATCCTGGGGCAAAGTTGGAAGAACTGAGTTGAATCTCCATCAATTACAGGTTGCAGGACCTTGAATGTTAGATTTTTTCATCCTAGTCTTTCAGAGATAAGACTTGAAAAGTGCCTTGTAAAGTGTCCAGTGCTCAATGGGCATATGGCAGTCCCAGACCTCTCCCCGAATCTCAGGTGGTGACAGCCCTGGGCCGCGCCTGGCATCCGGAGCACTTCGTTTGCGGTGGCTGCTCCACCACCCTGGGAGGTAGCAGTTTCTTCGAGAAAGATGGAGCCCCCTTCTGCCCCGAGTGCTACTTCGAGCGCTTCTCTCCAAGATGTGGCTTCTGCAACCAACCTATCCGACACGTAAGCCCCGCCTGGCCCTTTAGATTGCATATTTGTCTCATCTAGAGCACCTATGAGGTGGGCGTCACCCTGATTGGTTCCACTTACTAACCTGCACCTCCACCGCAACTCTATCACTCCACAACCTCCGTGGCCCCTTGGACTTGGTTTTCTCTCTTTGACTCTAGAGTTCCGTGTTAGATCTTATGCACCTCAGACTAATTCCTCAGCCCAGTCACCCAGGTTCCAGGCGGGAGCAGGAGGGGAAAAGGGACAGAGGGCCACGCTGAGTATTCCCTTTCCTTCTCCGTAGAAGATGGTCACCGCCTTGGGCACCCATTGGCATCCAGAGCATTTCTGCTGCGTGAGCTGCGGGGAGCCCTTCGGAGATGAGGGTGAGAGCTGCGCACCCACCTTAACAGCCCGTAGATTCACTGGCTATCTAGCCCCTCCCGGACTTCCGAGGACCATGACTTTTCTCCTGGACCCATCCCCTCTCATTCTGCTCTCGCACCAGACCCATCCCCGAGTCCCTACCACTCACTCTCACTGCCCCTCTGCTGGTGCTGCAGTCTCAGATCTTTAGAGGTCTTCAGTCCTGCCCGCACCATTTTTTTTTCCAGTCCTTTCGATTCTTGCTTCTAGGTTTCCACGAGCGTGAGGGCCGCCCCTACTGCCGCCGGGACTTCCTGCAGCTGTTCGCGCCGCGCTGCCAGGGCTGCCAAGGCCCCATTCTGGATAACTACATTTCAGCGCTCAGCGCGCTTTGGCACCCTGACTGCTTCGTCTGCAGGGTGCGGTGATGTGGGACGGGATTTTGCAGGGAAGGGTCAGCGGGAGGCAGGACTAGGAGGGCGGGGCGGGGCGAGGCTTAGCAGGGGGTCACGGGTGAGTTATTCCAGTACTAACTAGTTATCTGGTCCGGGCTTTGGCTGCTGACTCATTCTTTCGCGGCCTTCCTTCCCTAGGAATGCTTCGCGCCCTTCTCCGGAGGCAGCTTTTTCGAGCACGAGGGCCGTCCGCTATGCGAAAACCATTTCCATGCACGGCGCGGCTCGCTGTGCGCCACGTGTGGCCTCCCAGTGACTGGCCGCTGCGTCTCGGCCCTGGGCCGCCGCTTCCACCCGGATCACTTCACTTGCACCTTCTGCCTGCGCCCCCTCACCAAGGGCTCCTTYCAGGAGCGCGCCGGCAAGCCTTACTGCCAGCCCTGCTTCCTTAAGCTCTTCGGTTGATCCGCCGAGCTTCCCGTTCGTGAGGCCGTGCTCCCGCAAAGAAAAAGAGCGAGTCCTCCAGACCCCAAGGTCTTGCTTTCTGAACTTATGGCTGTTCCCAACTCCCGCTCTTTGTAGCCCCACCTGCCGAAGAGAGCCGTCCCTAAAGTACACTACGTCCCCCGGTGGCCAAGTTCAGAAAAGGCCCCACCCATCCGAACCCACACGCCCAAAGAGGATCTTAGGCTGAAGAGAGATCCCGAGTGAGTCCTTCACTCTGTTCCCACCCTTGAAACAGCCCCCTGACTGGAGGAAGCGTCCTTGCAATTCCGACCAATCAGAGGCCAGATCAGGACATCCCTGTTTCCCGCTCCCTCACCATTCTGTGCACTTTTTTCTACGTACATAAATACACATTCCACGTCTCATTGGTGCTGTGTCTCTGCGCCGCAGAACCTTGCCATCACTTGAAGTCCCCGCCCCTTGTGCAGCTCGGTCGGGAGTTAAGTTCTAGGCCGCAACCCTGTGGCCAGAGCAGGAACTACAGCCTCAGATCTTAACTTGGGTATTTCAAATTATCAGTTGAGCCCCAGGCTGAAAAGGCCAGCCACCTGCTCAGGATTGTACAGATAGTGGCAGAACCAGGACAGCAGCCTGGGGCCCTATTGAATCTTCTGCCCTCATTCCTCCTTTCCTCAGCTTCCTCTATCCTTGAAATAAGGAAATTGCTGTTCTTTCTTTGGTTTCCAGATTTTATCCCCTTAAAGTAACCTCAGAGATTGTGCTCCTTCCATAAGTGCCAAGTTATATCCACCATTTGGATCAGTGCTCTTTGCCTCTTACTAGTATTAACTCCCCCCACCCCCATATGTTCTACCCCCTGTAGGTGTCATGTAGACATGGCAGGGAAGTCAGCACGTTCAGACTCATTATTTACTTTCCCTGCTGGTTCATCAGTAACTCCATCAGGCATGCTGGGTGGTGCTGAGTACACAGAGATAAGTCATGCCTAGGCAGAACTTCCCAGGCTGGTGGAAGACATGGATAACACATGGTGTGGCCAGGAGAGTGACTGAGGGAAGCTCTGGGGGCTGTGGGAGATGGAAGGAGGCTTCTAAATTAGACCAGGAGTCAATGAGGGCTTCCTGGAGGAAGTGTTACCTGAGATAAGTCAGAGCAGAAAAGGGTGGGATCAGGGGTTTTCAGGTCTGGAGGAGTTCTGACTCCACGGAAGTCCCCAAATCCCAGAGACCTTTATGAGTCTTAGAACCTTTACCTAGGATCCTGCAGTTCCTTAGGGAGGGCGCCTAGACCCCTAGGAATACATGCTGGCCTCTGGCAGATCTTCTGATCTTTTCCAAGTCTTCCTGGTTCTTCCCAGTTCTGCTTTTTCCCTACCTCATATCCTCCCTGGGGAATGCTGTCCATTCTCTAGTGTCAACTACCTCGCTCTCTTGAGGATGCCCAAATTGGCCATCTCCAGTCTTGATTCATTAATCCACCAAATTTTTACTGAGTCCTTACTGGGCCAGACTTGGGTGGGGGTGAGGGAAAATGGGTAACCCAGCAGATGTGGCTCCTTCTCCTCAGGGAACTAAAATGTAGTAGGGAAGACAGCTGACAAACAAGTACACGAGTGACAAGTGTAATGAAGGAAAAGGACCTTCCCTGTCAGCTCTTCCCCAGTTTCCATCTCATGGCACCTCCCTAGCTTCCTCATAGCATTTATCATTTGTGAATAGGTGTTTGTTACTTGTTTTTGTCTGTTTCTGAATCTGGAACGAAAGCTCCTGAGAACAGGCAACCTGTTTGTTTGGCTGACCATATGTCATTATTCCTTAAACAATAAGGTACAACAACTATGTATACAGCATTTACATTGCATTAGGTGTTACAATCTAGAGGTGATTTAAAGTATATGGGAGGATGTGAGTAGGTTATATGCAAATATTATGCCATTTAATCCAAGGGAGTTGATTGTCTCTAGTTTTAGCATCTTCAGGGGCCTCCTGAAACCAATTCCACACAAATATCAAGAGATGAGTGTACATCAAATATTAGATAAGCCACAAGCTGGAAAGCTGGTGACCTCTGCAAGACTATACAGATAGTGGTGAAGCCAGGACAGGAGCTCAAGCTGGGGCCCCAGTTGTAAAGAAAAACAGAGAGAGAGAGAGAGAGAGAGAGAGAGAGAGAGAGAGAGAGAGAAAGAGAGAGAGAGAAGCAAGCAAGGTGCAGGGGTAAAGTTAAAGGGCTGCTCCTCTGAGCTGCCAGCTTTATATATTATATATATCCATAGGTTATATTAGGTCATTGATGTCATTAGTACATATTGCTCATTGTATAAAGTTACTGTTCTGTGGGCAGGTTTAGGTGCAGTGACACATTGGTGTTGTCTAAGAGAGTTCCTTTATTCCCAGAAGCTGAGTGTTTGAGATTAAGGTTGAGGCTGATAAGACTCTAGTCCAGAGCCTCCTCCCAAAGGACATTACCATAGCAGTTAGGCACTGAGCATATATTAGTCATCTTACTAGTTCCAGGGAGAAACTGTAGAATATCCAAATCAGAGCACCTGTTACCCTCCAGGAGATTTCTCACCAGAGGAATGCTGCCTTGTACATATCCACAGCCAAATTCCTTACACCCAGTGAATCTTCCCACCTCCATTCCTCCCTCTTCAGCTCTCCGTATCTTGAAGTAAGTGTGATTTGCTCCCCATTCTCTGCCTATTTTGGTTTCAGACTTTTCTCATCTGAGGGATTTATTTTGAAGGAAACCATATTAAAGCATTTCTTAAGCAAATTCATCATGTTCCCTAAAATATTTTTCTCTGTTTCCCATAGCAAGGATGATTGTAGTTGCCATAATCAGATAGGAATCCCCCGCCACCATTTCCTGACTTCCAAGTCTGGTCAGTCCTAGAAAGGCGGATGTGCAAATAATCACCATCTTTTCTTACATCTGGTCCTATGCTGAGCAATGGGAGTCTAGGGATGAATTGGATCAGTCCCTGCTCTTGAGGAGTCTCTAGTTTGTTGGGGAGACAGACCCGGACAAGGGTCACACAATGTGCTCAGAACTCTATCAGAAAAATCAGAGCACTTTATAGACTTCTATATAGGTGTCATAGACTAGATACTGAGCGCTGAAGAAGAGCTGGCCATTTGGGAAGCAGGGAGGTGCTCTAAGCAGAAGGCACAGCAAAGTTAGAGGGGCATGAAAATTTCCAGTTCAGGAATAAAAAGAGGAAAAAAAAAAGATAAAAGAAAGTCTGGGTTGGATAGGGCAAGAAAGTGGTAAGGAAATTGTGACTTCATTCAAGTTTTGGTATGGAGAAGCTAGGGGGCTAGGCAGGAATCAGGGCTTGGCAGACCTGGAAAATTGAGCCAAGGAGCTTGTACTTCTCCTGAGTGTCTTGGGGAGCTATGGAGGATTTCTTAGCAGGGGAGTGATCCTAACAGATTTGGGTTAAAAATAATCTCTCACCAGGCATGGTGGTGCAGCTCTGTAGGCTGAGGCAGGAGGATTGCTAGCTTGAGGCCAGCTTCAGCAATTTAGCAAGTCCCTAAGCAACTTAGGGAGACCCTATCTCAAAAAAAATTTTAGGGCTGTGGATGTGGCTCAGTGGTAAAGCACCCCCCTGTTCAATCCTTGGTAACCCCCACTACCCAAAATCTCTCTGGATTAACAGAACCTGGATCAGCAAGTTTTCCTAGGCTGAAGGGGATAACATTTTTAGGGGGTGAATGAGGTTACTTTGAGCCTGGGACACTGAGGAGGGGGTGGAGGCTAAGGCCCAGAGAGGAGTGTTTCTGAACTTGAAAGGGCTCAGCTCCCTAGGACCAGCCTTCGGCCTTGATATGGCCTGATTCAGCTAAATAAATCTGCAGAGGGGGGACAAGACCTAGGAGACTTGTCGGCTCATTGCCCCTGAGGTAACCATTAATCCCTCCCCTAGGGGAATCCAGATACTGGTCCCTTGAGGAGCAGATCCTGGGCAGAATGGAGGAATATATAGAAGCAGGCTCTGAACAAGGACTAGGGGACCAGAGGGTCCTAATCGACAATCCTGCTGACATCTTGGTCATTGCAGCTTATTTCTTGCTGGTCATTGGTGTTGGCTTGTGGGTGAGAAGTTGAAGGGGTATTGGGTTTCTGGGGCCTGGGGGAAAAGGTCTTATTGGATACCCTGAATAGATGTGGGGGAAGGATGCCTGGATCTTTGAGGGAGAAATGCAGGGTTGGGAAGGCAATCAAATCTTTTGAAAGTCTCAGTGATGCCTAGCCAACATTAACTCCTTGTCTTTCAATCTTCGGATTGTGCTAGATGAGGGGGGATCAATGGATTTTCATTAAGTTTAGCACTCTGAGGCCTCTGTTCCTTTGTCTACATTATGGCTGACTATCAGCCCATATCCCAGGTCCTCAGAAAAGTCAGGTTAAAGAATCCAGCCACACTCAGGCTTGAGTAGTTGGACACCAGGATTGGGGCCTGGGTCACTCTGGATGCCTGGGAGAAGGTTGGGGGTGGGGGTATGAACAAACAGGGGAGCCGAGTGCTGGTTAATCTTCAGCCTGGAACAAGGCTGAGGAATGTGTTGAGGAGGCTAATGAAGTCCAAAGATGTGCCCTGAACCCAGGTTTCCCCCATTTTTGTCCCCCAGTCTATGTGCAGAACCAACAGGGGCACCATTGGTGGCTACTTCTTGGCAGGACGAAGCATGATTTGGTGGCCGGTGAGAGCGGCTCAGCCATGGGATGGGGAGGAGGGACTCTAGAGAAGCTGCCTGGCTCATCCCCATCTCTGGTCACCAAGGTTGGAGCCTCTCTCTTCGCCAGCAACATTGGCAGTGGCCACTTTGTGGGCCTGGCAGGGACTGGTGCTGCAAGCGGCTTGGCTGTGGCTGGATTTGAGTGGAACGTGAGTTTTCATTTTCCACAATAACCCCATCTCAGCAGTAACCCCTAGAAGGGTCCTTGGGGAAGCTCCTGGTAGTGGGGCATATGAGACTGGGGTGGGATATCCAGTCACGGGTTGAAGTTGGTTTGGAGGTAGGAGGATGCACAAGATGATCGCTTTCAGAGCAGGGGTATGTCCTGCTCCTGACTTTCTATATATGAGCAGGTACCAGCCTCTACCCTCTCTAGGTGTTGATACACTGCTCTCTGAAGTGGCCCAAGCAGCTCAGAGGCAGAGAGGCACATGTTCTGAAGCTGGGCTCTGTGAGGATCTCTGGTTCAWATTAAAGCCCTTTGTTGAAGTTGATGAAGAGACAAAGCTCTGGGACTAGGGCTGACCTTAGAGGATTGGGGGAAATTAAGGCTTTGAACTCAGAGCTTCCTTCCTCTGAGCTGAGGCTGGACAGACAAAAAGTTTGAGTGGGTGAAGAAGAGAGGAGAGACAGCCATGCCTAAAAGATGCTAAG